GTTGACGGCTTGTTGACGCCACCGCAAGAGTCTTTTTTCTTGTGAGGGGCATGCCGCATCCATTGCAAAGCTGCGTGCCAGCCCCTTCCTCTGGGACTCTGGGACAAAGGAAACCACAGTGCTGGGCTGCAGTGCTGTCTTTTGGGATTGCTGGTCGAGATCTTAGCAGAACCTATCGCCAGGATGTCACCCGGGCCTTCGTCGAAGACTGGGGCCCTGGCTTATGGCCGTCGGCTGCCCAATCGTTGGACAGGCACCTGCTGTCTGCACGGGCTCGCTATGCTGGCAAGGCTGCGTTGTCCCCGGTGGTCGCGCAACTCGCTGTCCAGCTCTTGGACCACTGCCGGGAAGGGGCAGGATCGCTTTGCCTGCTGCACCCTGTTTGCCGCAGATGCGGAGCCTCCAGCCTTTAACGGGTAGTGAGGTGCACGAGCACCAACAGTATTGGCAAGCTATCGGAGGGATCAGAGTAATGTCCGAGTGATCGCAGTCGGGGCCGCAGTAGTCGATGTCGCTGTTGGTGTACTCGTACTTATTTGTGTCGTCGTCATAGCAATGATGGTGCCGCTGTTTCCGGTGTCGGTCTTGGTAGTGGTTGATTGCTCGGGGCCTGGTGCAGAGTGGGTATTGCCGAATGGCTTGCAGCCGTTGCGTTGCACTGTGAGGTTGCTTTTTCCGGCTCCGCGATCCACGCGCCACCGAGGAGAAGGTGCTTGGGCAAGATGATTTCGGGTGCTGGACTGGACTGGACCCAAGCCCATACTTCGGCCCCATCTCGCGTGGGGCAGGCTTGTCTCCCGGCCTGCATCCTCATCGGAACTTCCGGCTGGCTGCTCGAAGTGCCCAGCAGACGCTGCTTGTAGTTCAGTTGCAGGCGCATCGTTGAATTCATGGAGGTTTGCAACGAGGGGGTCATTTGGCCGGATGATGTTTTGAAGAAGTTCAGAAGAAATTTCCGGGCACACGGGCACATAGCATCCTCGCGGCCCCCAGATTTATTGCACAGTCTTGCGCAACCTCCAGAAGGACACGTGTTGCGCAAATCTCGTGTCCGGAAACGCGTTTCTCGAGACTGGCCACTGTGCGGCCCAGTTGGGGAGGCAGGTGGCAAGAACAACATGAAATAGAATGGTACCGGCGTGGACGGTTCAGGTCTCACCTACAGACAGGCCTACAGAAGCTCGGGCTAGCGCTGAGCCACTTCTTGCCTCACCTATACGCCATGGCTTCCAAAGAATCCAAAGATTGATTCTGATTCGCCAGATTCTGTGTCATCGCACGACAGTTTGCCATGCATCTGCGCACGGCTTCTAGGCCCTGCAGTCCAAAGCGAGCCTGAAGCTGATCCAGGCAATGGCACGAGTCTGCCAGTTCTTCAAGCAAGGTCATTTTATCAAGCCCAAATACTGTTCGAGGCACAGGTCGCAGCGGGTCACGATATGAAAGAGCTGGGTGTCCGGATGGAGCAGAGCGAGTTCAAGGCACAGCACCGCTCGTGGTTTGCATCCATTTTTCTTTAAAACCATTAGGATTTCAGTCAGATGCGATGTTTTGACGGTCCTCGTTGAGAAGGTCTCTGCCGCAGGCCCTAGTCTCTAAGCCCTAGTCATCGAAAGGTACGCACGGATCCCACTTTGACCCTTTCAAAACGTGAGTGCCATCAGAATCATCTGAGTCACAGCGAGTGGAAGTCTGACACACGAAACGAAGGCCTCTGCATTGGATGGCGCTGCAACAGTCACGTAGGGAGCTCGACCTTGTTTCCATGTCGGCACCGTTCTGGCACCTACAGGATCCCACGGGTAAGTGTGTGAGTCTTGCGCAGCTTGGGCCAGCCAAGGTTTGACGGCATGCAGAACCTGCGTAGCGTCGACATTTCGGACAGCTGCATAGTGCCTCCTCGATATCCGGGGCAGATCCTGTTCGGGCGGAAGATTCCCACCCTCTTGCCAGGACGATGCGTTGGCAAAAGCCGGGAGTGAGACAGCCTTGGCCGAGGATCCGTGGGGCATGGCATAGCGCAAGCGGCGAGCCTGATTCACATAGTGAGTATAGGGCTGCAAGCAGGCCTTGCTGAAGGCCCTGCAAGAAGGCCACGACAGCAGCGTCGCAGGCGAGCGAGTCGAGCAGAATGGCCCACATGAGTGTACCAACTCTGGCTGGGGCCACCATGCGCCCGCCAGGCTCAGAAGACGATATCTGGTCGCTTTACCAGAACAACCCAGACCTGATCCAGGCCGGGGGCCTTCTCTGGCATTTGCTTGGTCGGGCCTGGTCGGCGAGATATTTCAGGCTCCGTTGATCCAGATTGGTGCAGGCAACACTGCGCAGGCAGGGAGTCATGCCAGAATTTGCTTTCGATTGTACGTAGGCTTCTGGAAGAGGTCTTTGGCATGGGTAGAGTCTCTGCGCAGCGTGAAGCATCACAGGACTTGTGGGCGAATGTGACAAAAACCAATGAGACTCTCAAGCTGGCGGAGGACCATGCACACTTGAAGTGTAAGTGAGGCAGCACAGCTCTGGAAGCAAGGAGCTCTTCCTCCATTTCGATCAGGACAAGGCTGGAACGCGAGCTGTTTCAGCTACTGGCGCGGTGAAGCTACTGCATGACATACACGCATGTTTTTCCTGCTGAGCCTATCTTATACATGCAATTTGCGCCCTCCCCAGTGGCTTTCAGGATGGCTTCTGGAACTTCAAAGAAACGTCGGCTGTACAGCTCGCCACGGAGGGAACAGAAATGGGCGTGGCGGAACTCAGATACCCACGGGCAGAATTCTAAGTGTTGTGTTTGTCAGTCCTCAACGAGGTGATCTCAGGGGTCTCCGCCTTTTGCTGACGAATTTACAGAGAAGCTGAGGAAGAAGCCTTCAACTCCCTCATCATTGCTGCAGCACCGAATGGAGGTTTTCGTTCGGAGCCTTGCAGCGGGATCTCCTGAGAGCATCTGCAGGCCGTCACTTGACAGAGGAGGACATGGCTCGGGGTCTGTCGAAGGATCAGGTGCTGGAGTGGGCCTGGCCTGGATCCGTTTAAGTTGGTCAATGAGCAGTCTTGGTGCTCTGACCCATGCCAGCCTCTACACCAACGCCCAGAGACAACGCCAGCTTGGATTTGTTCTCGACATTATGAAGGACTCCTGACTCCTCGCATGATAAGTGAAGACAGCACCCTGAAGCCGAAAGTGTTCTGAGCCGGCCCAGGATCATCAGCGGGTCTTCTCTCAGGACAGACCTTGTGTTTCCAAAGTCTCTCCTTGCTGTTGAAGCCACGGTTGGGGAGGAGTCCAACGCGGAAGAAACAGAGAGCAAGCCGCGGCCTCACTGCAAGATGCTGCAGCACTTGCCAAACACACGGAAGTCTCCTCATCCAAAGGCCAGCGCCGGTGTCCGTGAGCGTGGACTGAAGCCACCTCATACTAAGCGCTGAAAGCAATCGGGAGGCCGATGCATCAAGTTCCAAACCTACCCGTGCAAAACTATGCAGCAGTGGGAACAAGGGCAGGACGTTTCGATTCGAGGTGTGTGACTTACGTGCGGATCCACACAAAGGTAAGAGCAGTCAGCAAGTATATGTGCAACCAAGCAAAAGAATGTGATCAGTGGGGCAGCGGCAGTTGGCCCGCATTCTTTAGGATGCTGTGCAGCATCCCATTGCCAAAGTAGCTCTCATGTCCTACGGGAGATGTGCGCAAGTGCACAGGTGCCCGGCTCGTATTCGGATTTTTGCTTCTCTGGTAGTTTGAGAACCAGAGCATTTCCGATCTTGCACCCGGGATTCGCGCAAGCACTGTGGAAAAAAGCATGCTGGTGCAGGATTTGTGCTGTAGTGCTCTCGGGCCAGGAGGAAACGAGTAAAGTAGCGTTCTCTGCGATGGGGACAGGGTTGGCTGCAGATAGTGAGGCTTTCTGGATAGTCAACCAGCACTCAGGTCATTTGTGTTTGTGGCTTAAAGAATTGTTCTCTTCGCCATCCTGGCATGTCTATTTTTTGCCGGCAATGAGCTTGGTGCGAAAAGAACCTCAGTGCAGCGTCGGGGCAATAAGTAGCACATTGCAGAGCTTCACGTGACTTGGGGCTTTCGGATCGTTCACCCCCCCCCGTGTTGCAACGGTGAAGAATCTCTTTGGCAGCGTATTCTCGCAGCTCCAGCCAAAGTGTGCTGTGGACCTGTGACGAGCGGACATAACGCCAATTGAGCCGAGAACCGATACCTGTACACCAGAACTACTACTGCCGCAGCACAAAGTCTTCGCACTCCTCCGCTGTGCAAAGCAGCAGAATCTCCAGCCACCCCGGGCAGGAGGGGGCTGTCCTTGCTTGCCATGGCGCTGGCGCCTGTGTCCAGCCCGGCATCCCCACATGCGGAGGATGCAATAGTGCTAGAGGTAAAGGACGAGGAAGCAGAAGACCGAGAAGAACTTCCAACGATCAAGACCCCTGCAATGGCATCGATCCTGGGCGAGTGCCTGACGGAGGTGCCTACGTTCTGGCATGAACCCTATCGCTATCACTTTCTGCATGTGCATGGGGGACCCTGTTTCTCACAAGTGGAATCTGAGACCTCGGTGTTTTGACAGCTTGAGAAAGCATGCTCTTGCGATGGTTTGATCCTGAAGTTGACCTGCAGGTCCTGCAGGACATGGGTGCCAGCGTGTCCGCAGAAGAGGAGGAACTTCTACTTCAGAACTTCCACAAGGCCTGCAGTGACTCTTGGGCGATGTGAACTGGGCTGTCCGACGTTCACTTGGGAGGAGCTGGTTTACTGTCTGGTGTTGTCCACCAACACTTGCTTTCCCTCTCGTGACTCTCGTGAGCCGGAAGGACTTCTTGCACTTCTAGTGAGTGCTCCGGAGGCCTGGTCCAAGGAGATGTCCAAGCTTCCACGCATGTGGGAAGTTGATGTGACACTCGGCCATTGCTTCAGAGGCTCTGCAAGATCGCGCCTTGGGGCTTTTCGGGTTTCGCCCTTTGGCTGGTTTGGGAGTGCTGCTTGGGCACCACTCAGCTGCAAGACGCGTGGCCAGCAGTGTTCTGCGGCAGGTGCGGTTGTGCGACAGGCTGTGAACATTACGTCACTACTTCAAAAGCTTTCTCCCTAACATGGAGTCTCATATCCAACGGGGTGCCGAGTGTTGAGCATGAGAGGTTCTGGCAAGTTTCTGTGGAAGAAGTCCACATGCTTCCCGTAACTTCAACAGATGAGTGTCTATTGACACGTGTCGCAGTTTCTTGCGGGCTGGCTTCTGTGTTGTTGAGTGTTTCGACCACATCGCTGTGCAGGCTGTAGTCCACGTTTGACCCTCCTAAGGCGGGGCAGTCTCGAGTCGTTTAGCTTCGCCGGCCGGGACCAGTTCGTGGAAATCAGGAATGCAGAGGTCGGCTATACTGGGCTGTATCTCATGGGCAGCAATGGCATCATGTCCTACATGTCCTGCAGAGTCTCATGTTGCTTCGACCGTCCACAGAGGAAGTCTGAGCCGTAACGCAAAACGGCGCAAGATGGACTAGATATGGCTAGATGCCTGCAGCGTGTTGTGCAGGTCGGACTGAACCCTTCGTGTAAGAACGTCGCAAGTCAAGTTGTTTTGAAAGATGGTGAGGGTGAGTTGTTCAATGCAGCCGAACGTCTGGCGTGGTCAGGTGCGTGCCCCCGACTTCAGCTTCACAGAAGTTCCGGTGCGAATTCAGTGCCCCCCGACTCCATCTGCAAGTGTGGAAAGTATCAGGCGTGCTGTTTCAGCTCCCCTGTGGTGGTAGCTCAGAGTGGCTGCCAGTCGCTGTAGTAGCTGGAGGACCCTCGAGGCGCTGTGCCTAGACGCGTGCGTGCACACACACACACACACAGAGCCACACACACACACACACACACGCACGCACACGACCAGACACATGCTCGGTATTGCCCAGTAACAACAGGCTTAGCTAGAGAGGGAAACATGTTCGCTCCCTTGAGCTCCACTTCATGAAGAAGGTTTTTTCGAATCTAGCCAACACCGCTGTCACTCACAGCCACAGCTAAGGCAAGTTGAGAAGAGATGCCACAGGCTCTGGAAGCCGGAAGCGGCGTGTCATTGAAAGTGATGATGAGGAGTAGCGCGACGAAGCTGGAGGGAGCAACTCGCTATGCCACAGAAAAAGTTCAGGCTGTTCGGAACGGAGATCCTGCTATTTGCAAAAGTCAGAAGGCAAGCAGTAAAGGCTTTCCCAGCGATTGCTTAAGCTCAAGAACTTGACATTGAAGCTTGGCCGCTCAGTTCTGTCCGAGCACATAGCCAGGACCACGATGAGAGCAGCAGCAGAAACAAGAGCATGGAGCAAACCGCCACCTCCATGCAGCTACAACTACAGCAGAAACCACGAGCACAATTCAGCAGCAACAACAACAACAACTGCCCCTGCTGCTTCTGCTGCTACAAGTAGTCCTGTTGCCACCACATCCGTTGCTAGTACGACAACGACAACGACAACAACAACAACAACAGCAACAGCAACAGCAACACCAACAGCAACAGCAACACCAACTGCTGCTGCTACTGCTACCACGACTAAGACTACGACTACGACGACGACCACTACTACTGCTCCTGCTACTACGACTGCTGCTGCTACTGCTACTACTACTACTACTACTACTACTCCTCGTCTCACTCCTACTCCTACTCCTACTGCCCCTGCTGCCCCTGCTGCTGCTACTGCTACTGCTCCTGCTGCTCCTGCTAGAAAATAAAAGCATGCTGCCTTACGTGATCCTCCGCGCAAGCGGCACGCTGGACTCAAGAGCGCGTCGCTTTCCCACCTGTGGTGGTGGTGCTGGTGGCTGGGTGGCTGGTGGCTGGCGCTGGTGCTGGTGGCGGTGGTGGTGGTGGTATCAGCAGTCGGAGGAGCAGAAAAAGCAGTGGTCGCCGCAATCTCAAGAGTTACTATTTGACTCACATCAGACGGGGAGGGTGTGCAAAAAACACGTGTTTCAAGCACAGGGAATTTGGTGCACGCCGGTGATGCGGAGTATGCATCATTCCAAAATTCACCAATGCACGAGCGCACATTTGCAAATAACTGAATGGATACACATATTCTTGGTTAGATAGATAGAGAGACATAGATGGATACATAGATAGACACATAGATAGACAGGGGCACATATTCTGTGTATATGGGGGGGTACCACCCCCCCGCAAAAAAAAAAAATAAATAAAATATATATATATATACATACACGTTCACAATTCATATGTTCTGTACATATGTGTGTGTGTGTGTGGGCATGCGTGCGTGAATGTTGGGTGTGTCTATGTCGGCAGGTACATACGCTCATGTGCCCTATGCATTTCAGTACGAAAAAGGCAAGTTGCGCTTCGTTCCATGTCCCTCATTCCGCGCATGGCCGCACTTGCTTATTTGCTGCCAGCTCCAACTAGTGTTGTTACTTTAGAAATTTGCCATGATGCCTGCTGAAGATGCCGGGAGCATAAGGAAACTGCAGCAGGGGCCCGCAGCTATGGAAAATGGCGCCGGGGAGCGAGGCCGACGGCGAGGAAGCTGCAGAAGCGAGCGCTGCAGTCAAAGCCAAGGTCAAGGCCAAATCACCTCGCAGCTGGGACTTGCATGCGTCTGCATGTTTACATGCAGCACGCAGTGCCACTGCAGGAAAGTAAAAAGGGCCCTGCATGAAATGCATGGTGCATCCGAGGCGAAGGTAGTGCTGCGGCCAAGGGCAAGGCCAAAGCCAAGCCCCAAGCCCAGGCCAAGGCCGGCAGACCCAAGGCAAGCAAGGAAGAGAAGGCCAAAGCAAAGGCCACAGCAAAGGCCAAAGCAAAGGCCAAGGCCAAGGCCGGTCGCAGGAAGACGTCCAAGGCCGAGGGGGGATAGATGTTAACGCTGAACTCTCATGATCTCCACATCATGCAAGGGGCAACCCCTGCACCGATCCAGACTCATCTTTTGTCGTGTGAAGTAGAGTTTCAGTCTGACTTCCGATTCAGCTCCTGCTTCGGGCTCCAGGGGCTGGATTCACACGTGATTCGGACTCCCACTAGTAAATCTGAATCTAATCAGCTGGCACCACGGGATTTAGGAAATCCAAGTTTCCTATAGCACCAGGTCTTGTCGGACAATGCGGCGAAGGATGTGAAGAGCGAGGAGCCCTTGTCAATATGGGCGGAGTCCGGTGTAGGGGTTGCTTCCGGTCTCCCATATCCAGTCTCCCAGCAGACTTGCTCCGCATGTGTGCCTGCGCCTCCCAGCTAGGTAGGCAAGCACCACATACTGTACCGCTCTGAGGAGAGCTGACGGGAGAAGTTCTGCTGATCGTTCGGCTTCCGAGCATTCAGCTGGTTGAAATAATGGTACGGCAGGGTGAGCATGGCCAGAACTGCATCCTGGTCCTTTGCAGGGGTTTTCCAG